GGTGGCATGGGACCATCACAGTGGTGAGCGGTCATAGGTCAACGGCCAGTAACTGGTCTTTCTCAGCTTTTTGGCTCAGATACTCAGCTGGAGCTTTTTCCACTGTTGCCACTTCATGCTATTCTGCATCCCACAGCTGTCTCCTATGTCCAGTCCCTGTGTAGACTCGTAGCCACATGTTCCTTTTCCCTCCCTCACTAGGTTTGAGAAATCCTGCTCTAAGATATCAGCTTTGTTTTTCCTTCTTGTGAACTATGGTGTATAGCACAAGTGATAGGCAACAAGGAAACAGCTTTATCCTGCCTGGGTCTTTTAAGCATGCAGATAGAAAAATCCATCATAGGTGCTGCTTCTGCATTTGTCAAGTGAATAAAAACAGAAGAACATGCAGTCATGATTGCTCTGCTCCTTGCACCTTCCTGCTGCGCCCTTGAACATTGCTCTTTTAGAATAATGGAAATCTGGCAGAAAATACAGAAATAATTGTGGTTGTAAGTAGCCAGGTTAGATTTCGATGAATTAAAATGGTTGCCATTACCAGGTGTGGCACTCTGCCACATGGAAGTCTGCAGCCATACCTGCTCTGGCAAGCAGCCGTCACAGTGGAACGATGTAAGTACAGGCGACTTGAAGCATCATTTTCACCGCAGATGTTTCTATCAAAATGTCATTTAAAAGTCTTCATTATAGATGGTATCCTTTCACTTAAATCTGGTAAATGATATTCCTAATAGTAGTCAGATTTTGCTGAAAGTTGTTTAATATTAATGTTCCTTTTTACCTAGGAAACCATATTTCTGTCAAGATAGTTGTCTTCATACCTGATTTAGTAGCACTCATGCTGAGAGTTTTGATGTCTTCACTCTGGCTTCTTTATTCATGTTGCTTTCAGTGCTTCCCTATTTTAATAAAAGTTTCTAGGATTATACTTAATTGATTTGTCACTCAAAGAAAATCAGCACTTGAAGCAATTAAGTGCAGAAAAATAGTAGGTAACAAAGAAAAAAAATTTTGTCCTCATCCTAGTTATGAAAAATCCATTATTCATTATCTTATTGTTTTTAAATACTGAAGTACAATTTTCCAACACAATAGCAAAATTGCTTTTGAAACAGAATAAATTGCTTGCCAGTTCAGAAGCTGTATTTTGCAGTCAGGATTACTAAACACGATGGCGCTTATGCTCATTATCTTCAATACTTGGTGAAAAGCTCCATATTTACAAGTGCAAACCTAGACACTGATTGTGGAAAAAAAAAAGTTTGTTCATAATATAACGGCAAAAAACCTTAAATTATGATTAGGACAACCATGTATTCTGCAAATATTACCACATTTACAAGAGTAGATTTAAATATTCTGCATGTCTGTGAATGTGTTTCTCAGCCAAGTCTCTCCATGTTCCTTCAAGGGAGACTTAACCATGTTTGCTGTGGTACTTTTGGATATCATGGAGTGGTTTGGGTTGGAAGGGACCTTAAAGATCATTGAGTCCCACCCCCTGCCATGGGCAGGGACACCTCCCACTAGCCCAGGTTGCTCAAAGCCTCATCCAGCCTGGCCTTGAACCCCTCCAGGGATGGGGCATCCACAGCTTCTTTGGGCAGGATATATACATATAGTATTTTCTGAATCAGACAGTTTTAAAATTTGTACAGAAGTAAAAGGTATCTGTTACTTTGCAGTATTTTGCTGTTTACTCCAGTACAGCTAGCAGATTGTGATTTTGCTGGATGGTGTTACAAATACGGTGTTAAGTGTTTGGATATCTAAAAGCAAAACACAATGCAGCGGCAAGCTTTGTGTTAAAACTGTGATAATGTAATTTGCAAATTTAACCAGGAGAGATTATAAAAGCATTGAATGTGAATCTGCTTATGCACAAGCCTGTCTTACTGGAAGCCTTAGCATAAAGTAATGTCTTAAGTTTTTTCTAAGCAGTGATTTTATTGTCTAGTGTTAAAATTAATCTAGTCTGAGAGTAATCTATATAATTTAGTATAATATACATGTTGAGCTGTAATAACTGCTCTGTTTTGTGAGGAGAATTCTTTGCTTAGTGGTTTTTCTTAATGACCATTGATGGTAATGGGAATGGAAAACATATTGCCAGATTGCCATATTAAACTAGATATCAGATGTAGCTTTTTGCAAACAGTGAAGATCAAGTTTTTCATGTTTGTTTTAAACTTTATTTTCCTCTTTTTTTGAAGTGGGTATTGGTGGTAGTAATTCTGAAAGCATTTTCCATGCCAAATTTTCACGTAACTAACTTTCTGGGAACTCATAACTTCTAACAAATTTACACAGGTTTTTAGTTTAAAACTTGTTATCTCCAGTGTGGTTGTGCTTTTGCATCTGTTGAAACAGATGAAGATTTTTTTTTTCTTTGCAAGGTCTAACATGCTTAAGTTTCCAATACTTGGTTGACTTACAGATCAGGAGGCTAGGGGTTGTGTGTTTATTAATATTCCTAGTTATGCATTATTTTCTAATCTGGTTTGAACACATTGTTAACCTCTCTTAATGCTGTCCCATACCAAGTGATTCAAAGGAGGTGCAGAAATCAGGGCATCACCTGCCAACCAAAAGTGGAAGTGTCTGGCTAATGAGTGGTTAACCAATAGTGGGCTTGGGTTTTTTTCTTTCTTATTAAATTTTCCTTCTTAACTGTGTTGATACCAATTTATTACATAGTATAAGGTATGTAGTATACCTTTCAATAGAAATCTAATATTGCAATACAGTCCCACCCCACCACCCCCCCTGGCCCCTTTCCTGGCATCCACAAAGGTTCATAACTGCTTCAATACATTCCTGTGTACAACAGGGCACAACACAGAAAATCTAGTGGAAAAGGAAATGGTTTCAGATTTTTGTATTAAATATACAGTAAGTTGAGTGTCACCAGAACTCCCCCCCTGCTGAAGCAAGGCCACCTAGAGCTGGTTGTCCAGGATCACGTCCTGACAGCTTTTAAACATCTCCAGGGATAGAGATGCCACAACCTCCCTGGACACCCCTTGCCAGTGCTCGGTCATCCTCATGTTAAAAAATTGTTTCCTGATCTGGTGGCACCTCCTGTGTTTCAGTTTGTGTCTTGTTGCCTCTCGTCCTGTGACTGAGCACCACTGAAGAAACCCTGGCTCAGTCTTCTTTGCAACCTCCCTTCAGATATTTGTACATGTTAATAGGATCCTGTCTATACCTTGTCTTGTCCAGGCTGAACAGTCCCAGCTCTTGCCGCCTTTCCTCTTAGGAGAGATGCTTCAGCCCCTTAATTATCTTCATGGCCCTTCATTGGACTCTCTCCAGTAAGTTCATGTTTCTCTTGTACGGAGGAGTCCAGAACTGGATACGGGAGTCTATTGTGTGGTCTCACCAGTGCTGAGCAGAGGGGAAGGATGTCCTCCCTTGACCTGCTGGCGATACTTTGCCTAATGCTGCCCAGGGTACCAGTAGCTTTCTTTGCAGCAAGGGCCCATTGCTGGCTTCCATTCAACCTGGTGTCCACCAGGACCCCCACATTCTTTTCTGCCAAACTCCTTTCCAGCTGGGTGGCCACCAGTATATACTGGTGTGTGGGGTTGTTTCTCGCCAGGTGCAGGACGTTGCGCTTTCCTTGCTAAGCTTCCTGAGGTTCCTGTCCCTTCCTGGCCCCATTTCTCCAGCCTGTCAAGTTTGTGATTTGCAGCATGCCCATCTGGCCTATCAGACACTCCTTCCAGTTTTGTGTCATCTGTGAATTTGCTGAGGGTGCACTCTGACACATAATCCAGATGACTGACAAAGGTGTTAAACAGGCCTGGACCTAGTACTGACCCCTGGGGTACACTGCTAGTTACTAGCCTCCAATTAAACTTTGCACCACTGATGACCACCCTCTGGGCTTGGCTGTTCAGCCAGTTTTCAGTCCACCTCCCAGTCTGCTTATCCAGCCTCTGCATCAACAACTTGCTTACGAGGATTTTATCCAAGGCCTTACTGAAGTCCAAGTGTCTACTGCTCTCCCATCATCTATCAGGATTGTGATTCATTGTAGAAGTTTATCAGGTTGGTCAAGCCTGACTTTGCCTCAGTGAAGCCGTGCTGACTACTCCTGATGGTTTTCTTGTCCTTTGTGTGCTTGGAAATGGTTTCCGGGACGAACTGCTCCATCACTTTCCCAGGGATCATGGTGACACTGACAGGCCTGTAGTTCCCTGGGTCCTCCTCCTTGAAGTTAGGAGTGTCATTTGCTTTCCTCCACTCTTCAGTCACTTCTCCCAGTTGCCATGACTGATCAAAGATCATTGAAAGTAGCCTCACAATGACATCTGCCAGCTCCCCCAGCACTCATGAGCCCATGGGCCTATGTATACCCAGTTGGCTTAAGCGTTCCCTGACCTTATCCTCATATTCCCTGCTCCAACCTTTCCCCCTGCTCTCTGAGACCTGGGACTCCTGAAAGCCAGCCACGCTAGTAAAGCCTGAGGCAAAGGTGGCATTCAGTACCCCAGCCTTTTCCATGTCTCGTGTAACCAGGTCCCCGATCTCATTCAGCAATGTGCCCATGCTTCCCCCAGTCTTCCTTTTGTTGCCTGTGTACTTACAAACTTGTCTTTGATAACCCTGGCCAGATTCAATTCCATTTGGGCTACAGCATTCCTGGCTTTGTCCCTGGATGCTTGGACAATGGTTTTGTATTCCTCCCAGGTTACCTGTCCTTACTTCTACCTGTGCCCTTCCTTTTTGCGTCTGAGTTTGGAAAGGAGCACCCTGTTCATCCAGTTGGGCCTCCTGGCATTTTTGCCCAACTTCCTGTTCACTGGGATGGAAATCTCTTGCGCTTAGAGGAGCTGAATACTAACCAGCTGTTTTGAAATCCTTCCAAGGCCTTATCCCATGGGACTCTTCCAAGCAGTTCTTGAAAAGGCCAGATCCGTTCATCTGAACTCCAGGGTTGTGAGCTTGCTTTTTACCCTTCTCCCTGCCCTCAGGATCCTGAACCCCACCACCTCATGGTCACTACAGCCAAGGCTGCCTTTGACCTTCACGTTCCTAGAGAGCCCCTCCTTGTTTGGTGAGTATGAGGTCCAGCAGAGCACCTCTCCTCATTGGCTCCTCTTATTACTTGGAGGAGGAGGAGGTGGTTGCCAAAGGACAACAGGACCCTTCAGGTTTGTTTATGTCCTTTTGTGTTGTCCCTCCAGCAGATATCAGGTTGATGGAAGTCCCCTATGAAGACCATGGCCTGTGAATGTGAGGCTGCTCCTAGCTGGCCATAAAGGGCCCTGTCTGCTTGTTCTTCCTGTTCAGGGGGTCTGTAGCAGACCCCGACTATAATGTCGCCTTCACCTGTCCTCTCTTTAATCCTAACCCAGAAGCTCTCAGATGGCTTGTCGTCTATCCCCAGGCAGAGCTCCACACAGTCCATCTGCTCTCTCTCAGAGAGGGAATGGATTTTTGGTTAATTACTACTTTTATTCAGATTGTTTTTAGGTTGCAGTGGGAAAATGGGACAGTCCCAGGACGCACATTGTAAGAGATGACTATTTAATACAGCTTCATAAAACTCAAACTTACTGATTTCTGCCAAACACTGATATTTTTTTGTGACTCAGTCCTTTTTCTTGGTTTTATTTTTTTTGGTTTTTTCCTTCCCTGGGCTCTAAGAATTATTCTGTACTAGTCCCAGTGCAAGAATGATTTCAGGGTAAATAAATTACATATTGCACAAAGAACAGCTTGATGCTAGTCTCCTATTCTTCCAAACTTCTGATTTATTCTGGTCAGATACTTTCTTTCATTAGCTATTCCTGTTTAAAGACTGCTTAACTGTCATTGCCAATAGTGTTAAGTAATATTAAAGTTTTTTCTTTTGTGTTCAGTGTGGTACATTTTTCATGTATTTTTGTAAGTGTTTGTACAGCCAGCTTTTCTGACCATTTTGTTTATCTTCAGTATCATGCATTTTTATTGATTAGAGTTATTGTATTTGTTTTTGCATACAAGTAGATGATCTTTGCTTGACTGTAATGTTTAGTTCCTTTTAAAATTTTCTTCTAGTTAATAGCCTTATTGGTCCTTTTAATAGGATGTGTAAAGAAACCTGAATAATAGTGCAGTTTCTTTCAATCATCTTCCCAATGTTATAAAACTATGAACTGAGTAAGTTACTCAATTTACATGCTTGTAGGGGAATTTTCTTATCGAATATTCCAGTGCTCTGTCTTGGCATAAAAAGCATTCCAGAAATGTAAAATTGAAGTGGAGAATAGTTTCTAGAGAGGAAAGGACCATTGCTAGCTTTGTGTTGTTTCAGAGGTTGCATAAGCAAATCTCTTTTGACTTGTTGAATGTTTTTGTGTAGAATTATAAAAGTAACTAGAATGTTTTAGTAATTAAGATACTGATGAGTTGTGTGGAAGGTGTGACTCAAATCGAGGCCTGTGCACGCAGGAATAGGCATCGGGAAAGCAAGCTGAAGAGTCTCAGTGGAGATATAAAGTCCGTATTTCCATGAAAACTCAGTCATTTGCATCTGCTATAAACTTTGCCAAGTAAATTTGGTTTACCGAAATCTTAAAAATAATCAGTTGAGAAGTATGAAGTTGCAGCTCTGTATCTACAAATTATATAAGAAACAAGAATTGCCCTAGAATTATTGGTACTATGATTGGTGATTGATTGCAGGCCTTTTTGCTGTATTACACATTTTCAGCTCGAATCAGAGTTTCTTGTTGATGTATTAACACAAATACATGAGATGTTTAGATGAAAATATGTCTAACAAAGTTCCATGTGGCAAAAATTAACTTGTTACTTTAGGATGGGATGTACTGGCTATTTGTTTAGTGCTTTCATTTCATTTTTCCAGGTATCAAGTGGAAGATGAGTCCTCTCATTTGGATGAAATGCCACTAATGATGTCAGAAGAAGGCTTTGAAAATGATGAGAGTGATTACCATACTCTACCAAGAGCCAGAATTTCTCAGAGAAGAAGAGGCTTAGAATGGTTTATCTGTGGTGGCTGGAAGTTCCTTTGCACTAGGTTTGTTGCATACCCGTACTTTTTATTAAACTATTAGATGAACTGGCTAAATAGTAGCTGTGTGTTGTGTGATGTATGCAGAGTGCAGGAACACAATAATTTGGTCGTCATGTACCTTTTGGTTGCTTTGCCTGCATTCTCCCTACTAGGAGATTACTGGCTGGTAATAAGTTCTGAAGAGCTCCTGCTATGTACTTCTCCTGCCTGCTTTGCTGACTTGCAAGAAAAAGAGAAGCTTTTAAGAGAGATCATATACTGAACTTGTACTAGTCTGAGGTCCATAATGGGGTACGGTCCTCACTTCTACCCAAAACCACATCAGGGTAGAGAGGTTAACACACTAATTCCCTCAAAAGTAAAAGAAAGTTTTAAGTTGACCATATGTAAGTTTTATTGATGTTGCTGAAAGAAGCAGTGGATTCTTTAACTAATGATTAGTTAAAACTTCAACTTTAAAGGTTAAAGAACACATGTAACTGGTGGCCTTGGAGTGAATTACAGTTGGAATTATTTGTTGTGATTTGGATCTTATTTAGAAACTTTCTGTGCTAAACTCTGCTGTATGCAGTTGCCTCGGAATAGTAACTTTCTAATGAATTGCTAGCTAATTTCTAAATGGAGAAATTGCTGTAATGCTGGTTGAGAATTGTGGGACTTTTTTTATCTTGAATGATAAAATCTGAGAATCAGTCAAGTGAAGTGAGTGAAGTGTTTTAAGTGAACTTGAATGATGAATGCTTTCTTTGGCAGATTTTAGAATTGTTTTGGATTGTCTGCACAGGTGGTTTTCATGGCAGTTAATAAATTCCAAAAGGCCTGATACTGTTGTTTTACCTAAGCAAAGCTGTATTTGTGCACATTCCGTTTTGAAATAATTTTGTTATTCTTTTTGTACAGCTCTACTATTTGCAGGAAAATATAATCTGTGTTGATTTTTCTATAATGATTTTACAAAAACTTGTGCATTATTAATTTAATTATAGGGAATAAGTGTTTGGAAAGTGGAAGGAAGTGAGGTACTAAAGTTGAGAGAAGCAGCATTTGTATATGTAAATTACTTTTGGAAGCAATGTTTCTGTTACAGAAATACCACTGTAGTTTTTAAAAAAACATTTTTCAGTGTTTGAAGAGGCTGTTAATCTTTTGAACGTATCTTAAAATTGAGATATTTTTCAAACAATATACTTTATGTGAGTTCAGCTCATTAAGTATTAGTGATTATTAGTTACTGTGATTACATTCCTTTACGTTTCATGAGAACAGGTAGACCAGTAAAGACTGGACCTTGTAGTTGCCCTGACAGAATTTACAGTGCTTGGGTAGAGGCAGGCACTTGCAGGATGAGTTTATGTTGAAACCAATCAATAATCATAAGAGAATGTCACAAGAATATGTCATTAAAGCTGAGGTTTGCAAAATTTCATGTTCTTGCTTGCTTTTTGATAGGAACATCTCAGCTTTAAGTGGAGCTTAAGCCTGTAAACTTTCAAGCATATTAAAACTTACCAATTAGAATCCTTGAGCCGTATTTGTGGTAGATATTTAAGAATGATAAGGGCAAGAAAATTGCATTATGGGTTCATTATTTTGCTATGTCTGATACATATTTTCTTGCTTATGTCGGTGTGTAAAAGAAAAGCCCTCCCTAAGAAAGAGGCCTTAGAGGAGTATGACTTCTGCTTTGTATTCAAATTCAGTTGAGAAAATAAGGAATGAAGAGTCCATTCAGTCTTGTATTTATACCTAGAGGCATTTTCATCACATTAGTGTTTTCTATAACAGAACATCATAGCAGATAATTTTCATTTTTCATGGAGAAAAAAATAAAAATATTTAAAAAAAAAAAAAAAGACGACCACCAGATCCTAGCAGAAGCTTGCAATTTCAATAGGATATTAGCAGTTGGAGGATACTCCCATGAGAAAGGTGCAGACATCTGCATAAATGAGATGGAGAAAAGTAGCTGGAAGGAAGTTCCATCCCATAGTGCCTTATCTACTGGTCCAGTCAGGCTGGATAAAAACCTCAGCTTGGGTGAGCACTTCTGAGTGAGTATGTATATACCTGTCGTGGTGATAAGGGAGGTTTCTTCTGGGTTGAGAGCACCATTGAGGCCTTCTTATTGATAAAAGTAAGGGATGCGTAGTCAGTGTTGTTACTCTTTTTGATGGTTTCTCATTATAATAAAACTTTATGAACTATTGCTGGGCCCACCCAGAGTTTCTGAAATGCCTATTTGCAGTTCATAAAGTTGCCTAGGATCATCCAGAAGATCACCCAGGAAACCTGGAGGCTGCTGGATTGTCATCCATGCGGTTATTACTTACACTGTGTAGTAGAATGGGTTGCACTGTTTTTATGTTTGGGATAGAATTGGGTGTTGATGCCTTCATACTTGAGATGGAGACAAACACATGAGAAAACAATTTTCATGTGTATTGATGGTGGATTACACATGTTATGCAAACTGCTGAAATTTATTTCCAGAAGGCAAACTACATTCTTTTAAGTGTAATGCGAGATTCAATATAGCATAGCAGTTTGAAACCTGATCAGTTGAAGAGAATTTAAAATTTCACCTTGTTTTTATGGAAATTAGTATTTCGTATTTGAGACTGACTGGGTGGGGTTGAAATCTCAACTTCCCAATTTAGAATTTTCCTTTTGTGCTTTAAACGAAACTGTAAATTCTTCAAAACTGTGACAGAAAGAAGAAGAACTCAGTAAAGGACTAGGCATTTATCTGGAGCCAAGCTCAGGGGGCCCCTGAGCTCTTCTTTTGAGTTCTCAGAGAAAGTTTTGTGTTTGTGTTCAAAACCACATTACTTGTTGCAAACAAACAAAACCCCCCATTACCCACTAGGGTTTTTTTGGTCTTGTTTTGCATTGCTAGGATTAGTCTCATTTTTGTGAGAGGAAGTTTTCCATCTCTTACTTTGTAGCTTTAGAATTTTATATTCTACAGATTTTTGTTGCTACATCGAACTGTTACTGTTTAGTTGAAAAAGTTTCACGCTTTTGGCAGGAGCAAATATGGAAGGTTTGACAAAGTTCACTGTACAGTAAAATTGGTTTTGTAAAAATCCTTTATTCAGCTTTTAACTTCTGTTTAAACAGTAGACTTGTTGATTGGAACTGAATGGCGTGAACTTTATTTGCGAATCTGCAGCTCTTTAAAAAGTTTTTACATTTGCAAGAAAAAATAATAATTAAATCAAATGTTGTCTTTGATTTTGAACAAACTGAAGACTTAATCAATATAACTTTTAACTTCAAAAACTGCTTATTTCTTGCTTTCATAGCACTGTTAAAAGAAAACTTTGTGTTATAGCAGCTGTTTTGTGGCTGTAATTTCCCCTTTAACTTACAAATTCTCTTCAAGCTTGTGAAATTATAATGCACATAGATCAATACTCTGGAGTTCTTTGGGCTGGATTGATTTCTTTCTCATGAGATTTACATTCCACTTGTTATCAAAAAACACTTTGTCCTTATGAAAATGGTGCCATTCAATGGCATTTCCATATGAAGTGAAGGGGATATCAAATGCTCGGATTAATTTGGGCTCTAAGATGGCCTGTACGCTTTCAATTAATCTGCAACGCGTTTGTTATGCAGAAGCATGGGAAAATGCTGATCTTTTAAGAATGACATGACCACTGTGTTGCTTTTGGCGTGATTACTGAAGCTACCTGTTGAGTACAATAATTACAGTATGTTTTCTTTGCAGAACTAGTTTCTGCTACTTAAAACCTAATAAAGAAAAGCTGACCCTTGCAGACAATATAGAGCTTTTATATTATCTTTCCATTCTGATGAAAATGCTGTTTTGTGAAAGATACTGGCAGTGAAGCTTGTAGGATAAAAGTAATGAAAAGAGAAAATTAAAAAAGCCTTTATTATTAGAGCTGCAGTCAGTTGAGACTTTAGCTTTTGACTTGGAGAGAGATGCTCTATTTATGAAAAAGTCAAGGGTTCTTATTTAACAATTACTGCAGTTTTTTTTAATATGGTATCAATTACTGATATGAAAAGTATGCTAGAAGCAGGTTGGTAAAAATCCATTTAATAGATATACCTTAAAGGTCTTTTATCAGTTAGTTCATTTCTTCATTTATGCAGTCTCTTGTATTGATACAGGCAACATGGCTTATAGCTAGCTAAGAAAAAAGCTTTCTGTTGAATTTTCTAGGCAAGAGCATTTGAAATAAATGCTTAAATCAATAAACAATAATGTTGTTTTTAATCACTGAATCCATAGCATATGGTGTGGTTTTACATTAAAGATTTCAGGAGACTCTCAAGTGTGTCTTGATCATGCTACATCTTACATTATGTTTGTAGGATATTTGGAGCTTAGAACATGCTATTCTGATTTATCTCCTGAGGCTTGTTTCACACCACTTTAGTGGGGACAAAAAGCCCATGAAAGGGTTCATACCCTTGCACAAAAAGAGTTTCTGTATTGAGGAATGTTAATTTGAGAACAGATTAAGTATGTATTGTGTGTTGATAATCTGAGTTTCAAAATATCGAGTAGACGTCACTGTTCTTAAAAATCCGAATTAATGTAAATTGATTAGGATTTCTGAGTCAAGCACGTCCACCTCTTATTATTCCTGTGATATAACAGTGGTTCCTGCTATGGCAGAATTGAATTGTTCAGGTAGTAAAACTCATCTGAGCCATTATGATACTGATTTGGGCATAACCTGTAATATTTCCATTATCTGAGATTTTCTTGCATCCGAGAACTTGAGTATTGTTAGCTGTGTGTCAGTCAAATCCCTTTTATCAAAGGTATCACGGTTGTTTCCCAGTCAGACATCATTCTTGTGTCTGTACTTTTTGGCATTTGCTAAACTAATGGTTGTTATGGCATCTGTTTCAGCTTGTCTACTGATCTGTAAGGGAAGAAGTAATGTCGAGAAGGGGAAACTGCAGCAAGGAAGGCAGTATAATTCAGTTGCTTTAGTCAAATGTTTAATTTTAGCAATAGAAAAGTCCTCGGTGTCTGAGGAAATTATTCTGCAAACTAATAATTAAAAGAATAATCTGCTTCAACCATTTTTACGGTTTTATAGATTTTAAAGATCGGGGTGGATCTAACTTAAAATAGTCTCCCTTTTCATTCTGTGTTTGTTTACAGCTGGATCAGTTTGTGTGTCCGGTTTACACAAGCATTTGCATGAGCAGTTGTGTCAGCACAAGGGAAGGGGCGAGAACTCCGCCGTTGCTACGGGAGGAGGGTGATCCTGGCCAGTTCAGCAGCAGCAGGATAGGTTCCCAGCCATTAGACTGGTTGTAGAACTATCAGAGAAAGACTGCTATTCATTTTGCTTTAAAGACAAATTTAAGTAATGATCAAAGTAACTTGATTTTTCTGGCTTGTACTTTACGAAATAGCAGGGCTCAGTTTGGAATGTTGAACTAACATTTGTAATTTTTACAATAGAATAATTCTTTGTTGCTGTTCAAAAGTGATGGGAAAAGTTGCTGATTGGGCTTGTCTTTGTAACAAAAATAAAATGCATGTTTACATAGGATCGAACCAAGTTGATGTCCATGCCGTAGTGAAAGCTTCAGGGAGGAAATCTTAAGAATCCAGCATTTAAAATTGAAGTGTTTTAAGTGTCGGCTTGTGAGTATTGGTGTAGTGGCGTTTCCGTAACAAAGTGAATGTCGCTTTGAATGATCTTACTAAGCCTACAACTTTGAATTACGCTTTTTCTTTGGCAAAATTAATTTGTAATAGGCCTGGGATAGGTTACTGACAACATTTTAAGTGGGACTGTGCCGATGTAAGCTGTCAGCCTTCCTTCCCTGCATATTTGTGTGTACCATGATTCTGTAACTGTGGGAAAACAGAATTGGAAAGGAGCTTCAAGAGGTCGTCCAGTCGATTTCTTGCCTGCACAGGATATATTACGCCTATCGCTTACCTCTGATCTAACCAGATCGTAGAGACCTTAGAGTGGTAGCAGTTCCAGCCTCCTGAAGTGTTCCTTTCCACCTTACTCATTAGAAGCATTTACTCTATGTCTGTCTCATCCTCCTTATTTATTTGCCATAGTTGAAGCCTGTCATTACTTAATGTGATGGACCTAGAGAATAATTGTCCCTTTCCTCTTTGCAGCTGTTTCTTACATGCTTGGAACCACGTTAGGTGCGTGCTCAGCCTTCTCTGAACACAACTCCATTTCCTTCAGTGTGTCTAGTAGACAAGCCTGCCTGACTTTTTAGACCTGTAGTTGTTTTGTTGCTCTTGTGTGTGCTCTTTGTTTTCCCAACAGGCCTGCTTGTTGAAATGTGGTATTCAGAATGGTATTTTGTAAGCCAGCTGAGATCTTGCTAGCACTGGACTGAGAAAAAGGAACACATTTGTGACCTGCTAGCAGTACGCCTGTCTACGCTGACCAGATTGGTGCCTTTTTTCCCACATGTGTATCATTCTCATGCAGTAACCGAGTCCTCCTCTTATGAGCCGATGTCTACTAACTTTTTTCCAATTCTATATTTGTGCAGTTGATTATTTGTGTGTAAACATACTATATTGTGCGTTTGCCTGTTTAACTGCATTCTGTCTCTTCCAGGTAGTTTTTCAATCTGTCAAGGCAGCTTTGAATTCTGATCTTCTCTTTGCATGCACTCATATCTCTTCTAGCTTTTTGTTGTCTGAAAAATGAAATATTCAGTAGTCAGTTACACAGTAAGTTCTAGATAAAGCTTTACAGAACTTCACTGGAGTTATTTTGGCTTTATAACAAGGTACTCTGCAATTATGATTTTTCCAACTGTGTCACTTCTAAGAATATGTTCCTCTCTTTTCCTTACAAGAAATATCTTAAGAGTTAAGTTCTATTAGAAACACAGAATCACAGAATGGTTTGGGTCGGAAGGGACCTTTGAAGATCATTTAGTCCAACCTCCCTGGCCATGGGCAGGGACACCTCCCACTAGGTCAGGGTGCTCAAAGCCCCAGGAGTCAAGAGAGGACATGTGCTCTCAAGCAGTAGTGCAGCTGGTTCTTCTCAGAGGGAAATTAGTTCCATTTTAGAGGTTGCTCTTGACATGTCAGCATTGGTTATGACTTTCTGTTTCCTTTCAGGTGTGTGCAAATACATAAACAGGTTGACTCTACAAAATTCACACAGGAAACAATGCTGAGGTGACTGGATCGTAGTTTCCCCCTCCTGTTCTCAGCAAAATCCTTTCTGTTGCCTTGAATACAGTCTATAAGAACTTCCTAGTGGTTACTTTTTCTTTCTGCATCAAAAATATTGTCAGTATATTCAAAAACCTTCCTAGAAAATGGGTGTCACTTGCCTTCACCTTCAGCTTCACCTGCTGATGTAGCTGAAATCTGCTGTGAGCAGCTGGGTCTGTGCTCTGGCTGCCCCAGGTACTAGATTTGTAAGCTGCTTAGGCAGGGAGTGCTCTTCCTCTCTCCATTGACACTGGGTTGTTCCTTTTTTTTTTTTTTTGGTTGAAAACATTTGACAGTGTGGTATTAGATACGCTTCCCTGTTATGTCTGCTCTCGGCAGTCTTACAGAGGAAACAAAGATTTACAAATTGTATGGTAATTCTATACAAAGCTGCTGACATTTTTCTAACTTTTAACTAATAGAAGCCTTATTTCCTCTTCAATCATTAGCATCATTGGAGTATCAATAACACAAGATAAAGAGTTTGGCCAGAGGACCGTTAATTATTTAATGGTGGGGGAATTTAGTCACTGCTAACGCAGACGTGTTAACTAGAATTTTTTGAACCTGTATCAGGATGTCTAGTGCAACTTGTCACTATTTTATGAGGATTTCCTGTAAAGAATGTGCAAGTCTTTATATATGTATATGTCTGAATGAGTTGAGTACTGTTTAATTGCCCTAAATATTACAAGTCAACAGCATGCTTGCTTACTTAGATGTGGCAAAAAAATTTTAGGCCTGTTTTTCTTACGTATTTGTCTTTAGGGTTCCCAGGTTGGAAATAATAATCACATGTAGTAAATTTTTAGTGTTAAAGAATTGTTTTTCTTTTCAGTTGTTCTGATTGGCTCATAAATATTTGCCGAAGAAAGAAAGAGCTGAAGGCTCGCACAGTGTGGCTTGGGTGTCCTGAAAAGTGTGAAGAAAAATACCCCAAAAATGCCATAAAAAATCAAAAATACAACGTCTTTACCTTTATACCCGGGGTAAGGCTACTAACCTTTTTTTTTTTTTTTTTTTGGTGTGGGGCTGACTATATGTTCTGTAGTGTTTTTTGACAGTTCTGCGAAAAGATAATTTTATTTGCCAAGATTCTTCTTTTTCTTTTTATATTTATCTTGATGTCTTCAATTAAATGTGACAGTTGAGAACAAGCCTGCTTTTTTCTAAATCGTTTTGTTTTCAAAGGGATATTTCCTAAAGAAGTGCAGTGTATATGATTGAGTGGTTGGAATTCAACAACGCTTTCGAAATTTGAGATGGGTTTCCTTGCACTTTTCTATTCATCATTAGAAATCTGTAATCCTCTTTTTAAAACAGAAGCACTTCTACACAGTCACTTTTGAAAATACTACAAAGCACTGACTTCAACTGAGAAATAAATACTTGAAAATTACAATGCACTCGCATGGATATTTTCTCATACTCCCTGCCATTGAAAGCATAATAAGTAATGTATTCTGAAACAGACAGCTCCTTAAAGGACAAAAACCAACCCACCCTTTCACTTTATATGACAAGTAAGGCTAGTTTAGTAAACTAGTGCTTTTCAGAGTTGTGTTTCTTATTGCAGTTTTAAAAATGATGATGCTGTTTTGGTTTTGAATGCGTTTCTTTGGACAGTACTTTTGTTGTGGAGTGGAAGTTTTTTTTGTCACTTTTTTTTCTAAGAAGCTATACTGCACCCTAATTTCAAATTTTTGCCTATAATGTTCAGTGTATATGAAGACAAAAGTGACATTACAGTTTTGCCTAGTTCCTACTTTAAAAACAAAAAAAGCTGAAATACAGCAATAGAGAAGACAACTTTTGGAGCTTTAGTAGTTAAAACCTCAAAATGTATGCAGCTGTGATATTACAAATTTTACTAATATGCTCTTACTAATACCATCCAAGAGTCCTGTGTCCTGTTGCAAAGACTGAATGTCTTCTGCATTTGAATGCAGACATGCTTTGTCTTAAATTTTTTATTTAAGTGATCATGCTGGTTTATAAGAGTATTGATTCTATTCTTCTGGCCTCTTTGGTCCAATGGCTGGCAGGTGCTTTCTAATACATTTCTTTATTAAAGCAAAAAAAAAGTAATGGTTTTGTAATTAACACCGATCTCCTGTCAAAGAAATAAAATGTCACTTATCACAGGCAGATAAAATATTCTCATCTCTATTGAATGAAGTAAATGTTTTCTTCCCAAGTTTAAATTATTAAATACACTGAATTTGGTTAAGCCCCGTATGCTTCCCTAAAGGTCACAAAATTCATTAAGCATATAGTAAGCCATTGATTATTGCAACTAGAAATCTGCAGTGTAGATTACACATCCCAAACTAGATTCATGTTTCCTATAGGGATCAGCCACAGCTTGCAATTACCTGTTGAGAGAGAGGATGTTTGTTGATTTTTGAGCTTTCCAAAGTCTTGGTTTTTACTATGGGCAGAATCAGATTTTTATTTTGGTGGTAGTATTTGGAAACTCGGTAGTAACTTCAAAATAAAGTGAGATCCTAAATGTAAAGCCCAGTAGTTGGTGAAAATAAAATGTTTTGAAATTTTAATTTGAGACATAAATAACACTTTTCATTGATTAGAAACTGTGTAGCTATGTGGTTTTTATGCTATTCCACTAGAAGTAATTTGTAGGGTACAGAGTTGTGTTGGTTCCAAACCTACAAATGTAAAAGTCGTAAATATTGCCTGCAATGATTTACCCTGGTTGGAAGTTGGGTCTTCTGTTTAGAGTTGTATCTTTTTTAACGTGGCAGCTGGCAAGGGGTAATATTCATTGACTTCATATCAAAATACAAGCTTAAAATGATGCTTAGATTAACAGAGCTTTACTTACTGGCTAAAAGAGCTGTAACAGCTCCAAAATGTCATCTAATTTCCTAACATTTATATAAAATACTTACTGCATCTACCTTTGTACCAGTTTGTTAATTTTCTGTTTACTGTTTCATATACATCTTGCTACATCTGCTTAGGAATTTTGTGTAAATTTCCCTAAAGAATATTTTTTGTGATGGGCAAGTTTTTAAGATCCCTCTCCTGAACTTCAGAGCAGTAGTAATTTTTTTTTTATCAGTTTTATGTAACTGGAGACTTTTCAATTTGCTTAACTAGCCTGAAGTGTTTAGCCTTGTATTGAATGGACTGTCAGTGGTCTGCCAGGATTCAAGATTTTTAGGAAGGTGCTTTTGAATTCCCACCTTCTCCTGCAAGATGGATGCTCTTGCAGATCTGCACCTTCCGAAGTACTCTGTGGACTTTTCTTTGACCTTTGTTGGTAAATAGTGGAATGTAATTCCATGCTTTTGAAATAAATATTCTGATTTTGAGCTGTTTGGGTAGCCTTTAGCCGAGTAGTAGTGTAGCACTCTTGCAAGAAACTGGCAATTTTGAGGTACAGCTACCTTGTGACTGCTGGAAAGACACTCTGAAATGAACTTCTCTGACAATTTTTTCCTAGGGCATAGGTTTTTACATAATTGAGTAATAATTTGGGACTGATAAGAGCAATTAATATCTGTTCAGTAACAGAGTTCACACAGAAGTCATCAAGTCATCGTAATTTTAACTGAATTGTCAGATTAAAAGATGGAGACACACTTTGGTTGTGGCCTTTGAAGATTCAAAATTCTATAAAATTAATAGTGTTCTTAGCATTGTAGTTATAACTACAGCAATGTTGAGAACGTGCACATGTCCAAGTAGTGCTTTCAGTTACCGAAGACATCTCTGCATCGGCCATTCCAGAGGAGTACGGGACAGTGTATTCTGTGGTAAGGTTACTGTGCTTCGCTTAAAACTCGGACAATTATCTTGGAGTTTACACTAAACCTTTGATTTATGAATTAATGTATCTTATGTACCAATTGTTATTGCAAAATAATCTTTCGAGAAATTTAAGGCTGAGCATTTCTTCTGAGTGACCTCAAAAGCTCATGTATTTATTTGTGAACATTGAGTATTTTCACTCTTTTTAAGGACCATGGGAAATGGTAATTCTGAAGGAGTAGGTCTGACCTGCAGGGAGCCTTTCTCCCTGTGAGAACCAAAGGATTTCAGAAAGATGGCAGATGAGTTTGTAGAGCTTCCACCCCTGCAAGATGAGAAATTTCAGTGGCTGTGTTGAGGAGAGTGTGCTGAGGGAATGTGGTGAACAAAAGTTAACAAGGAGTTCATGTGTACGGGTTTCTGTATGTCCTGCAGACAGGGCTGGAGTTTTAGGGTGTTCTCGCAGAATCTGATGCAGAGCAGCGTGGTACAGCCTCAGTTTTGTTACTCTGTAGAAGTTTAAATGACAAAGACTGGGATAATATTTTGGTTTCTGTTAATTTGATGGCGATGATATTTTTTTTAGTTATTCTTGCTTAAGGCCAGGATATGAAAATTTTGAAAACAAAAGGGCATTGTGAGACAGATAAAATAGAATTTAAGGATTGGTATGAAAGGAAAAAATTAAAGATTTACTTTTCATGCTGTATTTTTAGGAAGAAAAGTTTTAGGAGTTAAAAATGAAAACTTAATGTAAGCAATGAAAGTTCAGATACTCACAAGCTATTTTTTTTAATTGATACTATAAAAAAAGAAAATTTTCAAAACCTGTTTTAATTCATAAAGGTAACTATTGCAGATATAAAATAATTGCAGGATGCTTTTACGAACACCTGAATTCTGTTTACTATTAAAATTTCAGAGTAAGTCTTTGCACAGTGATCTTGATATATATTTAATATTTGTGAAGATTGAGTTCACATAGTCCAGTTTTCAAAATACCAAAATTTGGCAAATTGCTTTTTTCGGAGTAAAAAGGGGCATTAATATAAAAGGATTTTTCTCAACAAAAATAGCAGTAAAATATTAAAATAACTTATATCAAAATACTATGTGCCCTATATAGCATGTTACGGTATGTAGTACTATAATAGTATGCCATGTAATGGTTTTATATCTACTATAATGAAAAAGTGAATTTTATGTACAGTATGGGTAAAAATGTTAAGGCATTTATCTATTCTGTGTTTTTCATTTTAGGTTTTATATGAACAGTTCAAGTTTTTCTTGAATCTCTATTTTCTCATCGTGTCCTCCTCACAGTTTGTACCAGCATTGAAAATAGGCTACCTGTACACGTACTGGGCTCCACTGGTAAACAGAAAAATGCTATTAACTAGAAGTTTTGGGTTTTTAATTTAAGATTAAAAGTTATGTATACGTACATGCCATAAATATGCATCTGGTAAACTACAGTGATTAAAGTATGTAACAGAAGTAAAATGCTTATTTGAAATGATGGTATTTTACAGCAGATACTCCAGAAACTGTTGTTTGATAGCCCTCCCCTCCACCTGCCTGCCACACTCCTGCCCCACAGGCTGGAGGCTGTTCTTGTTTAGCTAGTCCAAGTGAGTAGTGCTCCTTTCTGGCTGCTGGTCACTTGAGAGTTTTGTGTTTTGGCTTGGTTTTTTTTTTTAGCCTACAACTAGTAGAGAACCTTCTTTTGGTAACATGGCTAACTTGTGTATTAAACTTCTTTCAGTTTATTGTTGTTTGTTCACTATTTCATGTTTTCAGCCTAGGTCAGAATTGAAGGCATATTTTTTTGCGTTCCTTCTGTATCGGTTTTGATCATATCCTTTTTTCGCAACAATTAAGATAAAAGATTGTAAGCCATGGATAAAGCAGGAGGAAGGTGTGTCTGGAAAATAAGTTATTCATTAAACATGTTTTTTCTAATTGATTGCTCTGCCAGTTGCACTGGCTTCCTTTCAGTATTTCTTTTTATTATTGAGTCCTTTGCAGTATTTTATTGGGAAACTGTTCGAACCAGTTGCTTCAGACTCAGGTTTCCTAAGGTTTGAAAATGGTATTCTCTTAAGAGAAGGGCCGCTTGGTAGTCTGCCAGCTATATTCCCATGATTTGGAATTTGTTTCTTGTTCGTAACTAGATCTTTCATCTTTCTCCTGGCCCCTCCACCCCAGGTTTAAAAGCAAGGCAGGAAGAACAAATGCTTTATTTTCTAAATTTATTTTAAAAAAAAGGTGTTTTTCAGGAGCATTTATTCTCAGTGGTATTCAAGAGGAACACTGACATGCCGACTGCTTCAGTAAAGGTCGTTCTTAACAAGTCAATAGAGTAAATGTTCTGGATTGATTTCATTGTTTTAATTGTGGCAACATGTGTCATTTTAAGTATTGATAAATGGAGAGACTGTCCTGGAGGTTCTTCATACCCTTATTTCCAGACAACTTTTGGCTTCTGCTGCAACAAAAAAAAACACTTCCAAGACAGAAAGCTTGTTCAGCAGTGGGATTTGAAATGGGTATTTGCAAAGGTCTTTGTCACTGACCCAGTAAGAGAAGACAGAAGTCAGCCCGGTCTGGAAGTTGCTCTCTTCGCAGTGAAGTGCTGTGTACAGCTCTGTATGTTAGTGGGGTAGTAAAAAATCACTTAGTGTCTCAGCCCATCTTGTCCCTGCCCAAAGAGGGGAGAAAATACTGTATTTTGCAAACACCGGTAATCTGTTCTGTATAGACGTGGTTTTTTTTTTTCTTATGCAAGAACATTCAAAATGTTTGCCAGTTTTCACGTGCAGCTTGAAAATACAACAATATCTCAGTTAGTGCTAGTGGTACCCTGTTCTTGTTAAGCTCACTTGTTTCTGCTTTCATTGCTTTTCTACTAATGATTAACCTCCAGGTAAAAGAGATGAATTAGGTGTTGAGTAAGGCTTAGTATGTATGATGAAGATCTAAAACATTTAAGTCAGACCCATTGGGCTGTCTTTGTTGGTTAACAGGCAAGTTTGGTTTTCTTTGAAGAGCATGTAACTGATGCTTTTTCAGTAATAATCAGAGGAATAGCTATGACTTGGTTGTATTTTCTCTCAAGATTTTAAAGGAAAAGAGAAATTGTTCGACTTGATACTTAAAACCAACTGAACATAACTGTGTGCTAAAAGGTTTTTGGGGTTTTTGGTGGTGTATGTGGGTTTTTTGGGTTTGTTTTTTTTTTTTTTTTTTTGCTTCAACAGTTTTTTACAACCAACAGACATAATACACTTAGATCAAGCCCTGGAGTTCTTCAAACAAGGCTGTATTTGACTAATTTATTGTCATTTGCACAGTGGGGAACGGACTTCTCATTTTGAGTCCAATATACAAAGGATAAATACAAGTTTGACTGTAAGCAGTGTGCTAAAGATATTTAACTGCTTACAGGTAAAGAAAGATGACAAGTGGTTGTTTGTTTTTTTTTTTTTTGGTCAGGTCAATTTCACAATTTCAGCTCCCCTTTGGAAGAGTATCAAGTTCCTTGGAGCAAATGAGGAAAAAGGGAAATTCCTTTCTGAAATAGCTCCTCCTAGTCACAGTCAGCTGTGCTGAGCTGCCTGTCAAGGCGTGGTGGCTGCTAGGGGACATTCTTGCCATTAACACCTTGCCTTCTGTGCTTTGATTGCTGGCTAGTTAATGAGATGTGTGCAAATGGCAAATAGATTGGAAGGCGCTTCAGGTGTGTCTTTCTTTATGCTGCTAAAATATCTCCAAGGTTGCAGCAGAGTAAGCTTTGGGATTTGGGGCTAGAACCGCAAAACAGCCTTTGCTATTGGAAAGGAGAATTTTAGTCAAGACTCCTTGAGGAAAACTCTGTGCCTTCACTCCTTTTGTATTGCTGGAAGGTTAGAGGAGGGTTGACAAACTGTTGGACTTCTGCAGGAAAAGAAGTTTAATAGTATAAATTTTCTTCTATAGAAGGAAAGTATTGGTGGGTGTCTGAAGCTAGCTAGATAATCTAGAACCTTATCTGTTGGAGGATTTTTGAATATTTGGGTTTTTTTAGCCATCTTGCTTATAGTAATGATAAGATCCCTTTACTGTTGAAATTACTCAGAATTGATGACTTCTTAAATGTTTTTAGTAAAGCCCTAATCTTTGTGGAAGATAGGGAAATATGCTTATTGAAATATAAACGCTGTCTTTAGCTCATCCAAAGCATTTTAATTTCTAAAATTTCAAATTATATCTAAATTACGTGTATTTGGAGATGTAGTTATTCTGATTATATTTGTACAATGTACAAGTATGATCTTCCTTTTTTGGACTAAACCAAGATATTCTTTTAACAGATTGACGAAAACACTAAAATCCAAATAAGAAAAAAAGTAAATATTCTAAGCACATGTTCTTACTCTGTATAGTGTACCTACTAGTGTATTTCTATTCTAGCGCTTGGAGAATTCTGAATTGCATAACTCTGTCTTTAACAGGGATTTGTTTTGACGGTCACAGTGGCACGGGAAGCTGTTGATGAATTCCGACGTTACAAGAGAGACAAGGAAATGAACTCACAGTTATATAGCAAGCTGACAGTACGAGGTTAGCAAACCCATTTGTATAAATCCTTAAAATATTTAATCTTTTTCTTATATATACATTTACAGACTTTCAGTTCAAACAAATAACTAATATTCTCAAGCTCCACTATTCAGAATGAAACTGATGCTGAACTAAGTGCTTGATTTCCCTCGGATAAATCCTGTTAAACTTGATCTGTTAAAGAAGTGTTGTAAATCTGGTGTTTCTAAAGGAAATGTGTATGTACACAACTGTATATATTTTTGAAACATTCTGCTGTTTACTACTGTTACTTCAAAGTGCAGTTCTCCTCTGAAATTGATACGGAACAGTAACTCAGCAACACTGTCAGCTCTCTGTCGAAGGTATGTAGGAAGCAGGCGATCAGTAACTGAGAAATACGATCTAATTAAAATTCACTATAGCCTTTCACACTTGGTGGATATATTTGTGCTTAAGAAAAGGAAGGTGTATTTTGAGCCAGCTTCAGTATCAAAAATACTGATTTCAATTTTTGCATATAACTTCAAATCTATTTGGTCATATAAGTAGGAAAGTATTAAAAGGAGAAATCACAGTTATGACTTTTTTTGGACTCAAAACCTTTGACAGTTTTTCATGAAGACTTTTAAGGAAATGAAGCATTTCAGCTGTTAAGTGACAGTTAAATTTGGTAGGATATTGTAAATTTTAAACATGAGCATAAGAGAAAAAAAATGCATTCCTCTCCACTTTTGTTGTTTAGCACATTTTACTGTTTAGATTCAGAACAGAGTGCCACACAGAAAGGTGCCAAAAAATAATGAATAACCTTTTAGCAAGTCGAACTATAATGAGTAACCTTACAAAACAACATGACTTTGCTATTACCCTCAAAAGTTATTTTGCTACACTATCCTGGGAAGTATCTGTTAAGAATTTTCCTTGGCATAAAAGTTCTAGAAAGTGAGAAATTGTTAGGGACTCAGGTTGTGTCTCAAGCAGTTACAGTATATGGCATACATTGTGCCAAGTGTAAATTCTGTTCACTCATTCCCAACATACTTTTCACTGCACTTCTTAGTATATTGTGGTGAATATCTTTTGAGAGTCAGTGGGAAGAGTAACCTCCCCAGATCTGGGTGTGTTAATTAGAAATGACACTCTTGGAGTAGCTCTGGATAATATTCTCTCCAGAAGAAAATGAATGAAAGCTTGTAATGTGACACCTGAAATCTCACCCCATTTTTTAAAGTAATTGGAAGGTAAGTAAACAGGCAACAGTCTCATTCATGATGACATAACCTAGCAGCTGAGAGGAATCTATACTGTTTCCTTGGAGTATGGGGACGTGCATTGCTTTGTAGAGTTTGCATACAGGAGGGAGGAGGAGTAGGGAATATTTGCCTATCGTTCTGCCCATCTCTTTCAGCCTGAAATAGCTTTATCAGCATTTAGACATACCACTGTGGAAATTCACAAATGGGCTAGCTATAATTTGTTCAACACAAGTGGTTGCGTTGCTGGCCTCCAGATCTTTACAATCTTTAATACAGTCTGGAAAGGAATGGACTCTTAATGACTTTTCTTTCCAAGTTGTAATTTAACCTGCTAGTTGGTTTATTCAATTTTTTTAGATCTATTAGGGTGTAGGCCACTGAACACTCATCTTCTAAGTAGATAGTACAATCCTACCCTATTCAGCAGTGGTGTTAGTAATCTGAAGTTCTTAGTTCTGGAAGAACACATGTAGTTCATAGTTACCAGTGTGACATAAATATCAAGACTGACATTTGCTGGTTTACGAGCTAAGTTTGGTGCCTTTTGTGCTTCTTTTTTTTCACTTGTTTAGAGCTAATAGTGGAGTTTCTGGTAAGTTGCTAGGCATTTAAGCAGCATTTGCATAGAAGTTTGGGAATCCTGATTTCCTCTTTCCCAGTTGGTGAAATGTTTTGTGAGGTTACGCGTATTTGAAAAATTTTTCATTTTGTAGCTTCACCTAGAAATAAGGAAGCTGTCAAAGTAAAATCAGATTGGGTCACCTTGACACAGCTGTTTTCTAGATACGGAATAGAAATTTTAAAATAGTATAAAATAGTATATAGGGAAAGCCCAGCAGTTACATCAGGAACTGACGTAGAGAGCAGTGACTTGTTCAAAAGCAGTTTTAGAAATGCCCTTTTCTAAGAAAGGATATCACCTTTTACACCCGAGCGTGTGTGTCTATTTCAGCTTTCAGGTTTTGGTGTCAGTGCTAACATGAATTCATACTTAGTTTTTGTTCTGTTTTGTGTTTTTTTTTGTTTAAGACCGTGCTGTTCTACAGCAGTAAAGATTCAGGATCTCTGCTTACAGTGGACTCTGAAGCCCATGTTGACAATGGTGTGATTGATGCGCTAACAATATTGAGTTGTAGCCAATTTTAAGAATGAAAACGTTATTGCAGTCCCCACTCAAAATTAAGCTGTACAAAAAATTGCCACAAACACAGGTATAAAATAATGAATAGATGATACTTTGTCCTTTTTTCATAATAAAGGGTTCTTTCGTAATAAGGCATTCTGAAACTGCAAGGTACCATTCTCAGGCAAATATGGGACTTCCTGCTGTGATAGTTAGACCAAGAGTTTTACAGGTTTTGAGAAGGATTTAGGTATTTATCTGTGCAAATTAATCAAGTCAAGTATTGCACTTCTGCAGACTATTTTTATAAATAACTTTCAGTATAATATACCTGATTTTTTAATATTGGCAGTACTCTTCAAGTGGAAAAATTCAGTTAGGCTTACTATACTAACTTGCGGGCTAATGGTTTGGAGAAAGAAGGCTTTGTTACTTGTAAATGAAGAAACTTGATACTGCTTTAATTAAAAACCTGAAAATCAATGCCACTCTTACAAGTCACTTTTCAGAGTGGAGCTGCACTTTATACTGCACTAGCATCTTTTTTTTATTCCTAGTGATTTTATGATTTGTGTACGTTTTATAGTATTTTCCTTGAAATAGCTGTTTTTTCCATTTCAAATATGGAGAAACTGACATAGAGAGGTTAAGCAGGTTGCCTTTGCTCAAGCTGGACAGTAGGAAGGTGCAGGGTTACCTTTGGTTTAATTGTACCATTTATGGGAGATAAAAATGAGACTTTAATAACTTCTAGTTAGTTGTTTTGCAAAATTCTTTGTATACTATAGGGGAAACAAATGCATTTGTAGCAAGAGAAGCTACTGGGATTTGAGTTGTGATGAATTACTTGTATAACGATGGTGTGGGTGAGCTGATTTGTAAGTTAAAATATTTTTATACAGTCTTGCAATAGATTAAAATCAGAAAGTCTTTGACACCCTAGCGGTGTTGACTTTCTGTGGAGTCATTCTTAGCCTCAGGAACCCTTGAACAGGTAAAACACGTGAATGTTGTCTTACAACCTGCATGTTGCTGCTGTAAGAAGTACCAGCTGTTTGAAGATGGTGAATTCACATTGGTGATTCCTGAAGACCCAGAATTTCTTTTTAGCAATTCAAGACCTTGAATAAGTATTAGTTCTAATCAGTCAGTCTTGGCTTTTTTTATAATAATGAGCTGTTCCAAGCAGGAAATCAAGGGAGAATGGGACATCTTTTTTAAATGTTACATAATTGTACTTAGGCAGCAATGGCCAGCTTAACCTCCCTAGACCAATTCTGATCCATGAGATATCTAGTGGTACGTAATTTTCTATTTGTTGTGTGACATGGCAAAAGCTCAGTCTTCCGTCAGCCCTTGGGGAATTTACAATGCGTAACTTTGCACGTGTCAAGAAGGTGAACCTGCTACATGTGAAGTTTGAATGGTTTCTACTTTTTCAGCCCTTTGTGGCAGGTGATGAAACATGCAAATCAGTAAACATATTGAATTTTCTTGTGAGCAAGTCAATGAAGTGTACCCATCTCCGTGCTCTGTTACCAACTCCAGAAGCAGTACTTCAGACAGTACTCAAGGTACCGTGGGTAAGATGTAATAGCAAATTAAAAAGAATTTGAAAATGCTACTTGGAAGTTACTGTTCTTTCAAGAGTGGCTTGCAGTCAGGTATCAGGGACACTTTTCAATAAAAAGAAACAAAGTCGTTTCTAGTGTAGTATGTACCCACGTTTTGTTTACTTCATTTCTTAAATTTTTATGGGAAATATTTGTTAGCACATACAAGATATTTATTAGTTTTTCAGATCATTGCAATTCATTTCAAAAGGCTTTATCTTGGGAGTATAATGAATTACTACAGACACATTTCAGTGTTCCAGTTCTGCACAATTCTACGTGTTGCTTTAGGCGAAAGCCTTGCGCCTTGGTGGACTATAAAGTCTGGATGCGCAGCCACTTCTGACAGCTTTGGACTTTTTATTGGTAATTACACAGATGGTAAAGAGTGTTTTGCTACGGAGATGTTTTTAGAGAAGAAATAGTTTGCAAAAATAATTTATGCAGTGAATAACATTCAGTGTCTTTTTTTCTCTAAATGCATCTTCACTAAGATGTAGTATTGCATCATTTTAATGTTCTCTGAAATGGTATCTAATGAGTTTTATTTTTGCTAGTCTAAAAGAAACTGTTATGTGTTGAGTTTTCAAAATTTTCAGCCATTTTTTGAGTTACACCACGTTTTACCATTTAGTTTTTAATGGAGTACATCCTACCATTCAGATTCATTTTCGAATTAATTGTCATGTATGTCACAGGAGACTTCTTTACATGAGAGGGATATTCAGGATACTCTAATGAGACATGTTAGTGTGTAATAAAGACTGTATTCTGTAGCATTATACTAAGCCACCTAGAAAACAGTCTGACAAGGAAACTTTTCTATTCAGAACGGGAAGATCCCAGGATTGCTAGACGGAGTACAAGCAGCGGTGCAGCGTGGGTTGCACCAGGAGTCCCTGCACTTTGTCTGCCCTACATCATGTTGCAAATGAATTGCCTTCTCTTGTCCTCGGAGGCTTAGTATCTTTTAATCTTTACTGTAGATACTGTTAGAACATGACTGGGGAAAATTCGGACGTTTCCGTTGATAAAATTCCTAGTAGTTGCATTTGATTAGTATCTCTGGAGGTTTTTGGGCATATGTGACTGCAGGTGGTGTAGATCTGAGACTTAATGCAGTTGGTACTAGGATTTCTGTGGCTGTTATTACTATAATCAGTTGGTTGACTTGATTATCAGAGTGATAAACTGATGAAAATTGTTAGTAGAGGAATTGAAAACAAAATAGGAAACGCAGTCCTTTTCGTAAAGCTCACAGATTTAGAAAGCAAAGTAAATACTACAGTGTTTTTCTGGTATGTGCGACTCACTTGTAGTCAAAACTTGAGAATTTAAAAAGGGAGTCCGCAGGCTTGTGCGGTTAAGCAGGCTAAATACGTTGATTTGCTATCACTGTTCTTTTAGTGGTTAAGCTTTAGTATGAGTTACTTTAGATTTAAAAAAAAAATGTTGAGAAATGGATAGTAACTTAATTTCCATAGGCATCTTGAAACTCCTGTAGAGAACTGCTGATGTTTCTTGCTGCAGCTTTTTATACCTTGGTTTTCTGCTACTCTCTTCACCTTCACAAGTGTGTTATGGCAGAGTTAGGAATCAGATGGAAGAAACAGGTCTTTTTGTATTTGGAGGCAGGAGGGGGAAGGTGTGTTTGGCAGCTGAAAAATGGAACTGGTGTAAAAGATGACTATCAATAACCAAGACTGGCTTTCAGAAATAACGCAGCAGACAGGCCAAACAGAAGTTCTGATTTTCCTCTGACGTTGCACATCTTAGAACATCATGGAAAATATATTAAAAATTAGCTATAGGAATACATTTATGATTGAATTAAACATAGAACAGTGGTTACTTTTGCATGAAATGGGATTTTCAGCAAGCACTGAAAAGAATTCCTCATGACATGAATCTTACTGCCTTTGACTGAATGTACATGTAAGTATAAGGAATTTTTTGAGGTTAACTACCTGATCTCTCTTCATTGAGAGTGATGATGAGGAGGACTCGTGGATTTGGAACCTAGCTTAGTTTTTCTTTCATACTTAGTATAACTTTGGGAGATGATAGAATACACATTGACAAATCTACTCTTCGTGATACTCTTGATTAAACTCCAGGCTGATTGCTGCTCATCCTGTGCTTTTGTGGGTTTTCTGTTCTGCTTCCTTCAGTCTGATGTTTATTTAGAACTCTAGCACCTTACCATGTTTTGACACACTTGTCTTGTGATAGCTGCTGATCAGATACCTGCTGCTTGGAATCACGATCGTGTTTTTATGATGGGAAAAGATATTTCATATGGGTGCGTGTTTTGGCTCATCAGGCTGTGTAAATGTGTATGTGATTATATCCTGAGTTAACAGCTTCTCAATTTATCACCTGCCACATCTTGGAAGAGGATATCCTTATGTCATGATTTGTTTGTCTACATGCATGGTGTTTTGTTTTTTTTTTTTTTGTTCGGTTGGTTTTTGGTTGTTTTTAACTCAGGGAAGCAACTTTTTCTGGAGTTGTAGCAAGGACCTGGGGCTAGAACACCTGAATTCTGATGAGATCAACAATAACTCATTTTGAGCAGTAGCTTAACCTCTCTGTCTCAGTTTTTCAGTCCATCAAATAAGAATGTTAAAACTTCAGTCTTACAAATATCAATACCTTACAGGACATACAGAAATTAAATTGGTGCGTGTGATGTGTGCATTTTGGAATGCGTTGTTCACACCAGTTACTGAACAGGCAGCTCTAGAGAATGTAAAACCTCGGTTTCAGCTTTGGATATTCTACTTGTCTAAAGTGAAACCTTCAGGCATTTCTTCTGACTTCAGAGAGACTTACCTCTTTTCCACTATAATTGCCAGCAAGTGTGAGACAGTGCCAATTGCACCAGTAATTCAGTGGCCAGGCAAAGCTACCTGTTGGTAACTGGGCTGTGACTGACAACTCGTGTGTGTGTGAATGCTCCATGATTACAAGCCTAACAACCCTTGACTTGTCGGAAATAAAGTGCTGTCTAGTAGGAGATGTAAAAGACTCCTTTTTACAATTTTATATCTGCTATTGATGCTATAGATCAGACTTGAGCATCTTCTGTGCATATTTTTTTCTCTAATACTTCTACAATAGTTAACTGGTTACAAAACTAGACTTTTTAAACCAGTGAATTATTTATTAAAACTGATGAAATACATTTATGAATCTGTTCATCAGAGATCCAGTTGATATAAGTTGTAATATTTTCACTAAGCAATAACATCTTTAACTACAAGTTGCATTTCGGGGTTTATATGCTTGTGACACTATTAATGTCTGCCTAAGTTGATTACATTTCTTCTTTTTTTTAAGGTAAAGTGCAAGTTAAGAGTTCAGACATACAAGTTGGAGACCTCATCATAGTGGAAAAGGTTGATACTTTTTAAATATATTATAGAGACTAAAGATTATTAACATGCTTCTCTTCTGAAGGAATGTGTATCGAGGTATTTATCTGTGAAATACTAACTAGCTAGTATTGTAGTTCAAGTCTTATTTGAGAATCTTCACGGAAATCTTATTTTTGTATTAAGCTTAATTGAATGTAGGCAATTATATTTTAAAAATTATTACATGCTTAAATTTATCTAGTGAAGCGAATACGATTCCTGAATTAAATTGTCTGGCTTGTGCTGTGGTGAATGTTCTAAGTTGTCTGATTACTGATACCTTCCTTCTGATGCTCAAATCAGTGTTTCTCTATATCTGAAGCCTTCAAGGATAAATTTGATTTATAGATAAAAATATATTTCTATTATGTAATTATGTAT